GGACGCTGCGGCGGTCAGCAGAGATGAGCAGGCGGCGGTGTGCGGTGCTGGGGTCCAGGGTCAGGTCCGCTGCGGAGCACAAGACGGAGAGCACCGAGTGAGGGGTTTCGGGGTTCTGAGGTAGGGGTGGGACAGGACCAAGAACAGGCGGCAGCTGAAGGGGCTGTGGGGCCAGAGAGGGTGCGGGCATGTGAAAGCAGGTCTAGGCTGGACCCAGCCTCTGCACGGATGCACCATTTCTGTGGAATTGGACTTGGAGAAGGGCCTGCTGGCGGGGGCAGGGGGCACAGCGTCGTCGGAGGAGGGTGCGCCTGGCTTGTGCGGTGGGGGAAGGTGAGGCTGATGGGACAGGGAGGGAGGAGCATCTGGGGTGGAGCTCAGGAGCTGGGTCAGCAGGATGGGGAAGGTGGATCTAAAGAGGAAGACTGATACCAGATACCGAACCCCAAGTGTCATAGGGGAGGGGCAAAGGGAGGAATCCTAGGTATCTGGAGAAACCAGCCCACTCACCCACAGGAATAGGTGGAGTGGACAGGCCTATTCTACAGGGAGTGGGGCTGAGTGGCACAGTTTGGTGACAAAGGGGCCAGAGAAATGGTCATTAGCCTTGAATGTATGGGGTGCCCTGAGGAAAGACTTCTGGATTCAGGTACCAGAAGCAGTCAGGGAGCAGGATGGTGGGTGACCAAGAGGGTGGAGCATCTTCTCTAGCAGTTTAAAGAGGGGTGAGGACAGCCTTGGAGGGACTGAGGAAGGAGCTCCCAGAAGCTGCAGAGAAGGCCCAGAGTGCCAAGGGCAGGGCAGGGCTGGCGTCCTGGGGTCCTGCTGGAGAGGAGTGAGGAGTGGTGGAAGCAGGGACTCCTGAGAGGCAGCTGACCTCCAAGGGTCTGCTGTGTGAGTGTTTGAAAAAGTAAGAGAGGGGAATGGCTGGAATGTGAGGACTTGAGGGTAGACATTGTTATGGGTTGAATTGTTTCCTCCCAAAAAGATATGTTGAAGTCCCCCAGTACCTTAGTACACGACCTTATTTGGAGACAGAATCTTTATAGAGGTAATAAAGTTAAAATGAGGTCAGTAGGGTGGGCCCTAGTCCAATATGACTGGTGTCCTTATAGAAAGAAGTTTGGACCTAGAGACAGATGCTCACAGAGGGAATGTGAGGTGAAGACATAGGGAGACTACCACCCACAGGCCAAGGAATGCCGGGGCCACCAGAAGCTAGGAGAGCCACGGGACAGACCCTCAGCCCTGAGGAGGGACTGAAACGGCAACACCTTGGTTGCTGCCTGCAGAACTGAGACAAGAACTCTCTGCTGTTTAAGCCACTCGACGTGTGATGTTTTGTTACAGCAGCCCTAGGAAACTAACACAGACATCAAAAAGGACTTGACTGTTTTTGAGAGAGAAAAGGGAGCCACCCTAAAACAGACTTACTCACTTTCCTCCCTCCTGCCCTCCTTACCGGTCAGCCTGTGAAGCATGTTCTTGACCACTGGGTAATCTTCAGGGAGATCATCATCTGAGATAGACGACTTGGGTGCTGGGGCATCAAATCTGGACGAATGAGGAAGAGAGGTCAGGAAACCAGTAGACACCCTCTGCCTCCTGCTGCCCCTGTCCCACCGACTCGAATCCTTAGAGCAAGGAGGGGTAAGGCACACCCAGGAAACCTGTCTTGAATGGGTACAAAGATGTGGGCCCAGTGAGGTGATGGATGTGGCAGCTGGTAGTGGAAAGAAGGAACAGTAAACATGGGACTCACCTTCTCCATGCCTTCCTCATATCCTGGGTGGGCAGAAGAAACGTGCAGGTGAGCTCTGAGCTTTTACTGTGGGG